ATGAGTCTGTGAACTCACTTAGATCTAGAAACTGGGTCAGAGACTGATTTTCCCTATCAGAGACAAATGTCAGCCTTCTGTTTCTTTGAAGCAAAGAAAGTTGGGCAGCACTAGTCAGCTGTCCCCGAACACCATGGGACTATAGCCACCGACCCCTCAAGGCAAGGCCCAGCTATAGCCACAGACCTGCTGTAGCCACAGACACCTCAAGGCAAGGCCTGGCCTTGCTGTGTTACGCTGAGCATTAAATGAGACCCCCTGGCTCGTGCTTCAGGTGTCTCTGCCTGGATTCTGATCTTCTCTTTCATGGAGTGTTTCCATGGCAATAGTTTTTCTCCATCACACCTCATGTGCCACACCTCCACTCCCTCCTCTATCCAGGGGTCTCTCATGACCCTGATCCCTTCTGGTGTGGTTTACCCACACCCTACACTTCCTTGGCTCTCTCCCCACACCCCAGGCCCTCCATTCGTTCTCCTCTTAGATCATACTCTTTGTTCTTAATTGCAAGTAAGCTTTGGCTTCAAACTCTGGGGTACCGATGCTACAATATTCGGTGCCAGTAGTGACCCAGAAAGAAAGACCTCTAAGAAGTTTGGAGTACTCATTGTTCTGACCATGTGTCAAGAGCTTGTGTGGCCTGCTGGTCTCACGTCCAAGAGAAGTTGTTGTTGTTGTTGTTATGTGCCATCGAATCGTTTGAGACTCATAGCGATCCTATGCACAACAGCCCTAAACCCTGCTCTATCCTGTGCCAACCGCACAGCCTCTGACACACCCATCCTGATTACCCCAGTCACCGAATCAATCCATCTCATAGAGGGTCTTCCCCTCCTGCGCCGTCCCTCCACCCTCCCAAGCATGATGTCCCTCTTCAAGGACCCGTCTCTCATGGCAACATGTCCAAAGTATGTCAGACGAAGCCCCAGAATCCTTGCCTCCAAGGAGTAGCTTGGTTTAATCCTCTCCAGGATGAATCTGTTTGTTTTCTTGGCAGTCCATGGTACATTCAATACTCTTCTCCAGCACCACAGCTCAAAAGCATCAACTCTCCTGTCCTCCCTAGTCATTGTCCAACTCTCTGATGCATAACAAGTGATTGCAAAGACCATGGCCTGTAGCAGGCGTACCTTAGTCTCCAGAGAGACACCTTTGCTCTTGAGTACTTTAGAGAAGTCCCTAACAGCAGACTTTCCCATCGCAATACGCTTTTTGATTTCCTGACTGCTGGTGCCAAGAGTGTTGACTGTGGAGCCGAGCAAACTGAATCTGTGAACACTCTCAATCTCTTCGCCATCCATCCTGATGCTGCCAGTTGGTCCAGTGGTGAGAATCTTTGTCTTCTTGACATTGAGCCTCAGTCCATACTGAAGGCTGCAGTCCTTGACCCTCCGCAACAAGTGCATGAGGTCCTCCTCAGTTTCAGCAAGCAGGGTTGTGTCATCTGCATAACGCAGATTGTTAATAGACCTTCCATCAATCTTGATGCCACAACTCTCCTCATAGAGCCCAACCTCCCGGATAATCTGCTCTGCACACAGGTTGAAAAGGTATGGAGATAGGATGCATCCCTGGCGTACACCCTTCCCAATTTTGAACCATGCAGTATTACCCTGCTCTGTTCTGACTACTGCCTCTTGGTCCAAGTATAGGTTTCGTATTAACACAATTAAATGTTCTAGGATTCCCATTCTTCTCAGAGTCAGCCACAGTTTGTTATGATCCACATAGTCAAACGCCTTTGCATAATCAATGAAACACAGATAAACATTCTTCTGGTATTCCCTGCTTTCAGCCAAGATCCATCTGACGAGAGGAGTAGGGAGAAGAATTTACCTGCTGACTTCAAGCCGCCTTGCTGGGGTCTGCCCCTCACATGGCTAGGCTGTGACTGTGGGTTCAGAAGACGCCTTGGGCATCCCTCACCTCATAGCAGCCAGGGAGCCACAGAACCAGAGGCTGGCAGCTGCACAGTTGACGTGAGATGAGGCTCTGTGGGCCTCAGGTGAAAGCGGCCGGGTCCCACATCATGGTGAGAAGACGTGATGTGCTTCAGATCAAATGTGGAGCAAATGCAGCCACAGCTGGGGTGTACACTTACATCACATCCTAATAAACAAGGGTGCAGCTTGGCCGTGGCCGTGACAGTGACAGGGAGGCGACAAAGACAAGTGAGTTCAAGGAGCCAGACAGAATGTGTGCTGTAAGTATCCATTCAGACCAAATTCAAACCCAGGCAGAACCATGGGTTCCGAAGGCAGGCGGAGGCAGCCTCTGGGCTGTCCGGGGAGCTGTGGATGCAGGCCTGCCCCCGGTATTGACAAGGACACTGGGTTACAGCTGGCTCTGCCCTGGGGTTAGTCAGTAGGCCGGACACCAAGGATTTGGCACTTTCCTCTGTACATGTTGTACCTAGGTTGAAGTTTACTTTTTAAAAGTTAGTCTGAGAAAGATAAGAACAGGGAGAAAAAGATGAAAGAACTGTGTCCGTAGACTGACGAGAGGCCTGGGAGTCCACCCCTTACAGAGACTCCTTCCAAAACCCCACAACCGAGGGCTTCCCGCTAAGATGGGGGCCCAGACCCTCGTCAGCTGAGACGGCAGGAAGCAGAGAACGCATAGGCATCATAATCCTGGAAGGCTGAATTTCAGAGGGAGAGATAAAGTAGTCATTTGAACACCTACCAAGGGAGGAAACCATGAGAAAGGAGACACAACAAAGCAGCAGTCGCCGTTTTGAACTTTTGTGGAGACTTTTTTGTTGGCGAGGGAACGCAGCTACGGTAATGTCTACAACAAGAAGGATGTGATCTCCTGTGTGCCCCCTACACCCTCCCTGCCGTGAGGGCAGTTGCTTCTCACCGCCTTCACCCCCATTGAGTCCCCACGCCCTCTCCAGTTCCGCCTGGGGTCAGGCTTGCACCATTTCATATTTGGCACCAGGAGCAGAAGCATATTTCCATATTCCAAGGCTCGCTCCCTCTCTGAGAGCTGGTGAACTGTGCCTTGCTTGGCCTGCAGCCGGCCCTTGAACCAAGGGAACGCAACCTCTGACTGGAGTTCTGGCCTCTCAGTCGGCACCTTTGTGGACATCGCACCTGGCACACCACAGTCGCATTGAGAGTCAGGCCACCCCCATGGACTCCACCATCTTTGGGCATCTCGAGCTGACACTACTAGTGTGAAGCAGTTGCTCTTCACACCAGCAGAGTGTGCCATCTTTGATGGGGTACCCTGCCCACCCTGTCCCCTAGCCTGACAGACACCATCACTGGTCAGGCGGACTGCCTAGGCACCCCTGAGGCCAGCAGAACCTCCCTCAGTACCCCCGAGATGAGAAGCAGATGCTGTCTGTGTTCCAGCACGTATTGTGGGTTCTCAGCCACCTCTCAGACGAGGACTAGATCTATGTATACATATAAAGTATAGCTTGGAAGCAGGAGTGGCATCTACTGCCGAAATAGCTTCCCTCCAGAAACTCTATGAATTTGGAGAAATGACTGAAGTTATACAAGTGTTCAGGTCTTTCATTCATAGGGTCTCTGAGTCGTCTACAACTCAATGGCACTTAACAACAGTATACATATAAAGTGCTTATAACAGGCCTGACCCAAACTCCGCAGCTGATAAACATTGACTCTTATTTTTATTACTCCCACCATGACTGGTAGTGTAATCCATGCATAGCTGCACTGCTTGTTTGAATCCACCAGTGGCTCCAAGACAGGAGGCTGTGACAGCCTCCTCCTGTGTGATTTACAGCCTCTGCAGATGTGCTGGAGGGCCCACGGCGAGCTGGCTCCCATCCCATGGCCATGCTGGGGTCACCCATCATGCTGGCCAGGCTTGGGAAGGTTCCCAACTTGAACTGATCCTCAGCGGTCTAATCTGTAGAGGTGATTATGTTGCATTATGTCACACTCTCCTCCACCCCCAGCGCTGTGTGACAAAAATGGCAGTAATGCTTCTCGCGTTTTTGTAGTCACCAATTTTGTAAGATTTTCTGGTGGTTTAGTTGCAGTATTGTGGCAGGTAATATCTGTGAGCCAATGTCAGTAACTTCTTTGAGATTAAAATAGTAAGTATAAGCGAGCTCTTGTTGCCTAGTGGCAAGAAGCTGCACTGCAATCCCAGAAGTGAACGGTTCTAATCCACCAGATGCTCTGCTGCAGAAGGAGGAGCAATCTCCTCCTGTACCAGTCAGGTCCGATTTGACAGTACAAACATTTACGCAAACACACACACACACACACAAAAAAAATAATAAAAGTTAAAAAATATTTTAAAAAATAGTAATTCTAGGAAAAAGGGAAATATCAAAAAGTCTTCTCAGTTACTAATAATTTAATCTGTACATATTTTCCAAACTTTTTTTATTGTGTTCATATAACCTAAAACATTATATTAAAGCAGTTTAAAAATTTTAAAAAATGGCAGTAATGACAAAATAAGAAAGTCTAAATAAAATGTTAAGAGTGTATGGCTGTGTGTTCTAGGGAGAAGAGATGTATGAACTTGATAATTAAGGAGAGCTGCTATCTTTCTGTTTTCTGTTAGCATTGTCATCCCCCCCCCCAAAGCAATTACATTATCTTTTTTTTTCCTTCTTCTGCATCTAGCTATAAAAATGTGCTTCAGTTTTGATATCTTAATTAGCCTTGGCCCCATTATTTAGGGTCTTTGAAATGTGCTGATTGCTTCAGTCTCATTGCCGTGGAGTCAGACCTGCCTCAAAGCTGACGGTCTAGCCAGTTTTCCAGAGGCTGCAAATCTCGTAGGAGGAGAGTCCCCCTCTCTCTCCCTTGGAGTACCTGGTGGACTCAGACCACCTCAGAGGCCTGGCCCCTGTGTTAGCAGCAGTTGCATCAGGGACAGACGTCAAAGAATCTGTTGTACTTGGTCGTACTAGTCATAACATTTGGTAAATGATGCCTACGGATGCCTAGAACCGCTCTGCAAGTTGGCAGTCAACGTGGCTTGTGGCTTTTTTCCCCCTGCAGTACACGATGCTGTCGGGACAGGTCCCGTTCCAGTCTCACGACAAGAGTTTGACCTGTACCAGCGCAGTGGAAATCATGAAGAAAATTAAAAAGGGGGATTTCTCCTTTGAAGGGGAAGCTTGGAAGAATGTGTCCCAAGAGGCCAAAGATTTGATTCAAGGTACAGCTGCGAGGGCCCCTTGCCCGTTTCCTGGGATGTGCTGATTGGCCGGGTGCCCTGCTCATCACACAGGTGTCTCTCAGTGGCTCCCAGAATTCATGTGTGTCTTCTGAAAGGGTTCTTTCCCATACCCCTCTTTCCTTCCTACAAGAACTTGCTCACTGCTGAGTCTTACCCAGTTTAAAGCATTGGCATTTCAAGTCCACAGCTGGCCTACCCCCTATCACTGTCCTGCCCAGTCCATGCCCTGCTCCTCTCCCTCCTCTTTCGGACTGTGGCCCAGCCAAGGAGGCAGGCATTGAAGCACAGCTTGGGTGCTGTGCTAACTGCTCAAACCTTCTACACCATCCTCCCCACCTGGGTCCCGCACACTCCACATCCACGCAGCCCCCCAGCTATGCCCCCCTCTCCTTTCACGCAGCTCTCACCTCAGCTCCTGTCATCAGTTCTCTCTTAAAATCCTGCAGTCTTTTAAAATGGTCTCATTTCCCCGGGCTTCACCTGTCCATCCTCCATTCCATCAGCAGAGAATCTTTCATATATATTCTTTTTGAATTATTTTTTTATTAATTTTAATAAACGTTTGCAGAGACTTTGGATTTTCATTCATTCATTGTTGCATTTTTCTCCCTGCCCACCCCTCCCCCCTTTTTGCTCTTCTCTTTGAAAAATAAAATTAAAATTCTTTAAATTGGTGGACAATCCCCCCGCCTGCCCTGAGTATACTCCACTATGCAGCCTTTATTCTGAACTCTTGTCATGACCATAATACCCAATTATATATCGCTTTTAAACAGTTCTCTCCCTCATATGGTTCAATGCAGTATATGTACTTTATCCAATCTCTCTGCATCACCCCAACCCTGATATCAGTCCCATTCTGTAACTGTGGGACTGTGTAGTATTTGTCCCTTTGTGACTGAGATACTTCACTCAGCATAATGTCCTCCAGGGTTACCCATTTTGAATAATATTTTATGAGTTCCTTGTTTTTCACTGCAGCGTAGTATTCCATGGGGTGAACATCCCAGAGCTGCTCTATCCATTTGTTTGTTGATGGGCACTTAGGTTGTTTCCAACTCTTTGCTATTGTGAACAAAGCTGTGATAAACATGGGTGTGCATAAATCTGCTTGGGTGGGGGTCATGGTTTCTTTAGGGTATATTCCCAGTAGTGGAATTGCTGGGTCAAATTGTATTTCTATTTCCAACTTTTTGAGAAAGCACCATCCAGCCTTCCACAGTGGTGGCACCATTTTACACTCCCACCAGCAGTGAATAAGGGTTCCAGTTTCTCCACAACCTCGCCAGCATTTGATGTACCTTTCTAATAGCAAATGCAGTCACGTTTCCTCCATTAGAGATTGTTCAGAGCGCCCCAGTTATCTCCAGGCCTCACCCTGTAGTGTAGCATTTAGAATCCAGAGCCCTTCGTGTCCTGCTTCTGAGGTCTCATCTCTCCCACCGCACAGTCCTGGGACTCCGCAGATGGGCCCTGCTCGTACTCTGGGACTCCCTTGCCCTTACCTATGCTTCTCAATCCCTGGAGTAAGTACGCCTCACCCAGCCACCTTCTGTGGGCCCTCCCAGACTCCCCTCTGGAGCTTGGCCTGCTGACACACCGTGTGTGTGTGTGTGTGTGTGTGTGTGTGTGTGTGTGTGTGTGCGCGCGCGCGCGCGTGCCTGTGTGTGTGTCTGTGTGTACACGTTGCTGGCACATTGACTGTACTTGTCCTCTGAAGTTCCCCTACCTGGCGACATGTCTGTCTGTCCCAGCAGCCGCTCTTGGAGTCCCGTCCTCTCTCTAGCTCCTTATGGCAGTGCAGCCCCTGTGTTTGAGGAGGTGCTGGGTAAATGCGTGTGACCCCGATGCAGTAGACCCAAGCACTCACTGCCATTTGCAGTTCTCCACGCCCCACATGGAGTCTTTATTTCAGGTGGTGATTTTCTCCCAGTTGACAAGCTAGTCAGGGTACAAAATCCACAGCCACTGCCGTCGGGTAGGTCCTGCGTCACAGCCCCCCGTACAGGACAGAGTAGTCCTGCCCATCAGATTCTGAGGCTGCAGATCTCTCCGTGCGCTGGTGGCTGCCCCTTTCAGCCAATGGCTTTGCATTAGCAGCCTGTTGCTTTGAGCATTACGCCACCAGAGCGCCATCATGCAGATACAACCCCTCAGAAATACGTTATTTGTGGACTCTGTCATTAGCACTCAGTGTTCACCAAGGTTTAAATGTGTATGGGACTGTAATTATCTTTATAAGAAAGTAAAGCCTTTTTTTCCACTTTATTTTGTATTGCTTTGCACACAAAAACCATAGACATCATGTTACCATTCATGTACGTCTTGTTTCCTCCACTCCTGCGTTCGCGTTCTGTTTCAGATGATCACTCATATGCATTCTGTTCCTAAGAGATTAAAGCCTTTTAGAGATGATGGTGTCGTGGGACTGTAGTGGGGGGCTGCTGTGGCTGCACTCACGCTGTGTTTTAAGTGACAAATCATTAAATGGGAATATTTCACTTGGCAGGACTCCTCACGGTTGACCCAAATAAAAGGCTCAAAATGTCCAGCCTGAGGTACAACGAGTGGCTCCAAGACGGGAGCCAGCTGTCCTCCAACCCGCTGATGACCCCTGACATTCTCGGGTCGTCGGGCGCTGCTGTGCACACCTGTGTGAAAGCCACCTTCCACGTAAGCCCCCCCAACCCCACCCCATGAGTGAGAGCGACTGGAAGGGGCACCAGGATGAATGCTTCTTTTGTGTTCTTTTCTGTCCTGCCCTTTCCTGCCGTCTGAGCGTTACCTGGGCAGGTGCTGCCCTTTGCTCTTACCTGGTTGATTTTTCGAAGGGATGAGCACCTCCCTGGCATTGTCGTTTACCACGTGGAGGGAGTTTGTTCTGGGCTCCAAGGGTGACCCAGAACCATATTCCGAGAGTTCTGCTGGAAGCGTTGCCTCGTCTATGCCTTTCTTTCCACGTATCTCTCCTGCTCCTTCCAGGACCTTCACTTGGATCTCTTCTAGAGAGATCAGCAGTGGGTCACTGGGAACTGCCCAGCTCTTCTGGGCTCAGGGTCAGGAAAGGTGAGGTTCTGTGGGCCAGTCATCTTTGGCACTGTTTCTGTGCATCTTTGCTCTTCTTCCTCTTCTTTGTTCTGGGCAGGGAGAGACTAATGGTTGTACCTTCTCAAGCTTTTAAAAGACCCCAGCTGGATAAATGATGTATACTACATTGAAACAGATGAGGGAGAGAACTGCTTAAAAGGGATATGTGATTAGGTATTATTGTCATGACAGGAGTCCAGAATGAAGGCTGCATGGTGGAGTGGACCTGGGGGGGAGGGATTGTAAAACAATGAAAGAATTTTACTTTTCAAAGAGAAGAGTGAATTGAGGAGGGAGGGGTGGGCAGGGAGAAAAGTGCAACAATGAATGAATGAAAATCTAAAGTCTCTGTAAACGTGCATTAAAATTCATAATAATTAAAAAAAGAATAAATTTAAAAAGATCCCAGCTGAACTCACCCAAGTAGGACATAGAGCCCTGTGTTTGTGAACTGCGATGTGCCAGCTGACCGCGAGGTGTGGCCTGCTGAGCGCACAGCACCTCATTCCCGTAGGAGACTTGATCACAATTAAGAAGTTTACATATCTTTGCCCCGCGTCGACCTCGGCTTTGCTGTATGTGTGGATATATTTACAGCATTTACTTCTATGAATGCAGAAACAATATCTGTCAGACCTAATCAGATGTCCTTACTCTAACTTCAGAGACACACTTTTAGTAATATATTTATAGAAATAGGTGGCCTTTCTACGAAGATGGTACCAAAAGTGAAAAAGGAAGCCCCTGGCCCTCCTAAAACTGAAGCCAAAGCAAAGGCATTAGGCCAAGCAGGTGTCCTGAAGGGCGTCCACAACCACAAAAAAAAAAAAAAGATCCTCACGTCACACACCTTCTGGTGCCCTAAGACAGTGAGACTCCAAAGGCAGCCCAAATACCCCCAGAAGAATGCCCCCAGGAGAAACAAGCTTGACCACTATGCCATCATCCAATTTCCCCTGACCACTGAGTCAGCTATGAAGAAGATAGAAGATAACAACACACTTGTGTTCATTGTGGATGTCAAGGCCAACAAGCACTAAATTAAACAAGCTGTAAAGAAGCTCTGTGACATTGAGGTGGCCACGGTCAACACTTTGATTAGGCCTGATGGAGAGAAGAAGGCCTGTGTTCGACTTGCTCCTGACTGTGATGCTTTGGATGTTGCCAACAAAATCGGGATCATCTAAACTGAGTCCAGCTGGCTAATTCTAAATATAAATTTTTCTCACCAAAAAAATAAAGAAATAGATGGCGTTTTATTTTAGGTATGTTTTTCTAAAATGCTTCATCTTGGGTAGAAAAGCACGTGAGGGACCAGAGTCACAGATAACCTAGCAGAGACTTCCTGATGCTAAGGGTGAGTTTGCAAATGGGGCCAGCAGTCTGATACTTGAACAGTCGAAAGCATTCTGTGTGTTGTAAAAAGCAACATGTATGAACTTGTTTCTTTCCTACAAACAAATTCACTTTCTTTAAACTCTATAAACAGACATGAGGAACCAAGACATGTATGAAGATGCCTTTATTTAACAGTTCACCTATGCAGAACAGTCTGGAGACTGGGAATGAAGGAGCTTACAGAGGGAGGTACAGTGTGTGAGGTGGTTGGAGAGGTGCCGTGTGCATCCAGGGAATAGCTGAGTACCAGCTCGAGACAGTAGTGAAATTCCTTGATCCTTAAGGACGGATTGTGGGCTTGAGAGGCGGAGACCACCAGGAACAATAGCAGATGATTCACCTGTGTGCTGAGCAAATGCAAATAAAATTATACAATCAACAGATAGAAACAGATGCAGAGAAATACAACTACCACTTCGGGATTATCTTGAGAAAGAAAGATTGTGCTGCTTCTTCCTTCAGTTGAAGAAGTAGATAAAAAGAATTCTCAAACTAGAATATGCTCAGGTGAAGAGAGATGGGGCCGCAAGAACTCCTGGCGGGTGGTCCACAGCTTACCTGTGACTGTACCTCAAGGTTGTGAGGAGTCACCTGCAGCGTTGCCCGAGCTGGAGGCTGGCAGAGGAAAGGCAGGCCGCTCAACAAGGGGCCCACCGCTCCGAGGGCCACTTGGAGGCTGGCGGGGGAAGGCAGGCCACTCAGAGGGGCCCACCACTCTGAAGGCCACTTGGAGGCTGGCAGGAGGAAGGCAGGCCACTCGAGGAACCCACCACTCCGACAGCCGGTTCTCACGGTTTACGTTAACTGCCCAAGAGACCCCCTAAGTTATCTTTCAGCAAAGAGGAGAGCCACAGCCTGTTGTGACGTAAGTCTGCCCTGTGTTGAGACTTGGGCTCTGAATCGTAAATCTAAGCAGAGAGTCAGAACAAGAGTGGAAATCTTAGATTGTGATAATCGTCAGGAATTTCTGTCAGTCGTTGATTTCTTATTGAGATGGAATTAATTTCTTCAAAGGAGTTAGTGGACTATGAAAGCTGCCTGTTTTTGTTGTTGTTGTTAGGTGCCATCGAGTCAAGTACAACTCATAGCGACCCCATGAACAAAAGATCTGAACCCTGCTCTATCTGTGCCATCCTCACACTTCCTGACCAAGAGCCCATTCCCGCAGTCACCACGTCCGTCTACCTGGTTGAGGGTCTTCCTCTCCTTCACCGACCCTCTACCCTTCCCAGAATCATGTCCTCCAAGGAATAGCCTCTTCTAGCAACATGCCCAAAGTATGTGAGGCAAAGCCTCCTCATTCTTGCCCCAGAGAGCACTCTGGCTGCACCCTCTCCAAGACTTACCTGTTGGTTCTCTTGGCCGTCCACGGGATGTTCAGTGCGTGCTGAACTGCCTAGCTATACTCATTTAATCAGCATCCCAGAAATTTCACAAGCTTTCAGGGCTTGCTTCTTTCTCTAAGGAGCTTGAAACCCTGGTTGCCAATCACAGCTTGTCTTGTGCCGTGATAACTTCTACCTGCGAAGATAGCGTAAGGACCTGTGCATTGACGAGGCCTCCTTTTCTCTCTCTTTCTCCTGTAGGCCTTTAACAAATACAAGAGAGAGGGATTTTGCCTTCAAAATGTCGATAAGGCTCCTCTGGCGAAGCGAAGGAAGATGAAAAAGACCAGCACGAGCACGGAGACGCGCAGCAGCTCCAGCGAGAGCTCACACTCCTCCTCCTCCCACTCGCACGGCAAAACCACCCCCACCAAGGCCCTGCAGCCCGGCCACCCCGCCGACAGCAATAACCCCGAGACCCTCTTCCACTTCTCGGACTGAGCGGCGCGCCCACGGTAGGCATGTGGTCGCCCCTGCGCCCCAGCTCCCTCCACACGGGCCGGGGTCCCACGGCTTGTGCTTCTCAAAACGCGCCCCTTTCTCTCTGGAGTCTGCCTCTTGGTAAATGTCTTCAGGAAACCTGTGGGCTCTCCTCATCCGGAAAGCACTGGACAGAGACGATTACTGTGAACAGAGCCCACGGCCACTAGCCAGAGGCCGAGACCGAGGCCGGCAGACCGTGCAGGAAAGAGCAGAGGTTCCCATCCGTCCAGTTAGGGGCTGGTTGGACTTGAGCTGCTTACAGAGTAAATCACAGGTTTTCGTGATAGATGCCAGTAGCAGTGACGTGTCTCAACTGGTAATTTTGTCCTTTACCTTGCGGACAATGGATTTTTAAAGAGGTTTGCATCCAGTGATCCAGTGTTCTAGCCGAGGGACAGATCGGACTTATTTTCCAAAAGATTCTATCGTGAATTTTACGTGTGGCATATCATTATTTCTTGAGAGGGGATTTTAACTTATTGTTTTTATTATTTTGATTATGTATGACAAAACCTGCTGTTGTTCATCTTTTTCTAAAAAGTTGGGGGGGAAGAGAAGAAATATAAGAACTTCAGGCCTCATCATCTGTATTTGGGGTCCTGCGAAATGCATGCTGAGCTGCGTCTGTTTTTAATTTTGCACTGCTCTTTCTTGGCAATCTGTTTTAATGATTACTGCAAACTATTAAGAAGGTACATGTGTCTCTGTTTTCAGTACTTTTGCACTTTATAAAGCGGGTGGACAAAGCAAGCTGGTTTGTAAAGTGCACTGTTGAAGTGTACGTACTGTATTTAGCCGTTTCCCCTGTCATCTGCGTCTGTTTAGCCCTCCCGGCCCTCCCCTGTTCAGTGCCCCAAGTAAGAAGGGCCTGGTGCACGGCACTGTCGTCAGCGGCTGGGTGCGGATGTGACAAAGGGCGAAAGGGAACTGGTACTAAACACTGTGCTTCCTTTGTACACTGTGTTGTGCTGCTGGGAGGCCCTTTCCTCCTGTAGCCGTCTGTTAATGTACAGAATATTTTAGAATCCTAAACTATGACTGGTTTTGAAACTTTTTCTGTTAAATTTCAAATCTTGCAAATGCCTATTTTATAAAACTTAACGCAGAGCACTTTTCTTGCTCCAGAGTTCTGAATTCATAAAACAGGGGTTACGACGACATTTCATTGAGAGAGTGCTGCATTTTAGAATCAAATCCAATCCATTCCCTATGCAAAAACAAAAAGAAACGAAACAAGTGGCAAGATGTGTATGTTGTATTTTCTCTTGAAACCATCACATGAAATGTCAAGACTGAGTGATTTTTTGCTCTGTTTACAGAAATCATGCTTAAAAAGATAATGCCCAACATGTTTGTTTTCTAGTTTTTGTTAATGACAACCTCTTGAGCATTCATTTGGAATCTGGGCATGATATTTATTTATTCCTTTCTGGAGAGAATAGCAGCATTAATTTCAGCCGGTTATGAATACTACAAATATTGCACTCTATGTAACAGTAGACTATTTATTACTAATTCATTGTATATATTAATAGCACAGGCAGCAAAAATGGCAAATATTAAAATATTTTCAAACTATTTTATTATCCTGTGCACATTTCTGTCTGCAGTGGTTATTGGGAATAACTTTTTCTACTTCCTAGTGACACACCAGGCATAATTCTCATTGAGTCAATGAAAGTTTTCTGTGTCTAGCTTTTATTCACTTTTTTAATAATGATGGAAAATTTTGTGTGAATTATTACTGGACTATAACTTGTTCACAGGATGTGGTTCCATCAGGCACAGCTTTATAATAATCACGAAAACCCCATGTCTATCTGTAGCTAGAACACTGTGACACCGATGTGTCAAATCCATTAATGGTTGCTTATCCAATGCGGACAGAGAGTGGGATGGAGCTCCTGGATTAAAACAAGCTTGGAAGGAGGAGTGGCATCCACTTCCATAATAGCTTGCCTCCGGAAACCCTGTGAACCTGGAGAGAGGATGAAAGGCACCCAAGCATCAAGGACTTGCCTTCATAGGGTCGCTATGAGTCGCCTGCGACTTGAGGGCACTTAACAACAACATCTGTAGCTATGTTGAATCTATGAGAGGGGGGTGCCAACTCATTAAGTCATTTTTATATGGTCATGGTGGTGGTGGTGGTGGTGGTTTGTGCCATCGAGTCACCTGTGACTTATAAGAGACCCTGCATTCAGTAGCTCTGAAGCCTGCCCTGTCCTGAGCCAGTCTCACTGACTCTGACACACCTACCCCCATTACCCTGGTTGCTGTATCAGTTCATCTCATCCAGTGTATTTTTATACATTATAAATGTAAAAACCAAAAGGACACTCCTGATAATGGAAAACAATCCAGAAAAACAGAGAGTGTACCGTTAGTAACTGATGTTCTTAGTTCCTGGTGTGAATTGGACGTGTATGGGGTTTGTGTTCCTTTGCCACCTCTTCAGAGGGGCCTGGCACACAATGAAATGGGTAGAAGGGCAGGCAGAGTCGGGAGAAGGCGAGATCAGGCTCATGCATCAACTCCTGAGGGCCCTCCTCCCTCCCCAAACCTCAGCACTGCCCATAGGGGTCAGGTACCCTCCTTATAAACACAGCGAGGCAGGGTTCGGTGCTCCGTGAGTTGACACAGCTAAGCTGAATGCGGACGATTGGTGGCTGCGCAGTAAACCACATTTTAAAATCCACAAAGCTCTTCATTGAGTCCCATCAAATTTACAGAATAAGAAATACTCTATTTAAGATCGTTAAATGGAAGTGTTCTGTGGCATTATGAGTAAAGTAAAATAAAACTAGATGAAAAAAAAAAAAACCCCAAATGCATGCGTTAAGTTCTATTTATGCTGGTGTTATTGAGAGGCGAGTCGGGTCGGGCCACCCCCTTACCCTCTGCCCTTACTGGCTTCATGGTGTGTCGTGTGGATGCTGTCACAAATCCCGATTCATGGGGTCTACTTGGTAGCTCTGTTTGGCTCATAGACAGGCAAGAACAAGATAAGGAAGAGAATGCTGGTGGAAAGGCCACTTTCTTCCTCATTACCGTGCCAGATCCTTGGGCTCAACGAACTTCTCCCCGAGTTCAATAGCTCATTTGCAATTCATTAATTCTCCCAAACCTCAAAAAAAAAATCAGGGTCTGAAGTCCATTTCAACATGCCTATTCCATCTGAGAACTACAAAGTCCTCTACCCAGGACAAAACACCTTTAAATTTACTATATTGCTGCAGATTCCCTAAATGTATAATGGATACATTTTCAAAGTAAGTGTATTTTAAAGAAGGCTACTGGAATAGCAGTGACTGGTTTAAAAGAAAAATAAGGACATTCCTTTTATATCTTACTTTATTCTCTTTTTTTTTTATTCTTTTTCACTAGTTTATTTACAAAATTCTAATACAAATTCAAGCAAATTCTTTCAATTTCCCTTACCCTCCACCCATCAAATTGTACAACCCAATGATGAATCCTTTCTTCCCCTTGCATATCTACATCCCTCTGCTTCCAGCCTCTCCCACCCCTCCTGGATCCTTATAATCCTTCTACAGTAATGGTTTTATACAATGTTTGTCCTAATGGGACTGAGTTAGTTCACTCAGCATAATGCTCTCCAGTTTCTCCCAAGTTAGGTAATAATTTACAAAGTTGTTGCTACTGTGTGCTGCATAGTATTCCATTGTGTGTATGTACCGTAATTTCTCAATTTGTTCGTTTGTGGTTGGACATTTAGGCTGTTTCCATGTTCTTGCGATGGTGAATAATGCTGCTATGAATATTGGTATATTCTTTAAGCATCTGTTAAAGCACAAAAACAGTCTGTAGGCTACTGTTCACCTTGCCCCATCTGGGCAGTAGCCACCTCTTACTGTCATATTAATTGTAAATAAAAATCTCAAACTCGTCACTTTGTCAGGACTGACTCCCAGCTGACCCTCCTCTGTTCTGACGCTGTGAATTGCCTGCCTTCCTCCTGAGAAAATGCTGGCAGGTTGGAACCACCCCAGAACTGTGGCCTTTGAGTCACCAGCAGAACTCCCTGCAGACTGCACCCCAGAGTCCCCTGTGATTTTAATAGAATTGCAAAGTGGTGCCTGTCCCTCTGGCATCTCTAACCCCCTGATGTCTCTTCCAGTGAATGGTGATAACGCAATAGGGACATTGGAGTGTTCAGGCTTCCAAGACCCTTTTCCTATCTAAGCAAACCATTTAAATTGATATGTCACTTTGACAGTGTCAAAATAATTGTGTATCGCAAGAAACTGCACTGCAGTCCCAAAGGTGAGCAGTTCGAATCAACCAGATGCTCTGCTGGAGAAGGAGGAACAATCTCTTCCTGTACCAGTCAGATCTGGTTTCACGGTACACACACAAAAAATAATTTTTAAAAAAGAATGTATATCTTCTTAGCTCCTCAAGAGTCTTTTCAGCTCACACTCCAGTTTCTGACTTTTCCATAACTGCATCCCCCACCCCGCATGGATGTCCCTCTTCGTTTGTAACAGGGTCTGGCACTGACGGGACTGTATTAGCAGCCTCTGGTAGAGCTTGGAAGAGCCCCGGTGGTGGTGTGTGTTACTGTGTATGCTGCTAACAGAACCAGCTTTTTGTGTTTCAGGGGGACGATTTGGGCAGCAGCTCTCTGTAAGGATTCACGGCCTGAGCCGCAGATAGAGCGTCACTCTGAGCTGGAATCCACAGCGGTGGGTTTGAATATAATTTGTCATTTAAATGTGAGTCGTTGTTAAGACTCAGGGAATAGCAACGTAATCAAACTAACAGGAAGTATGTATCAAATATTGTTAAGTAATCCCAGAGAAAAGGAGCCCTGGTAGAGCTGTGATTAAACATTAGACTGTTAACCAGAAGGTCGGCAGTTCGAACACACCGTCTTCCTCTGAGGGAGAACAGCGTGGCATTTGCTTCTAGCTTGATGACAGCCTTGGAAACCA